GTTGGGGAGCGTCATGAATGAGAGGTAAGTACGTTGCAGCGAAAGCATCGGAGAGTATCAGAAATACCTTGTAACCCATGGAATTCCGAACAAAATCGTTACATTCATTGCCATCATTAAAATTTTTTATCGAATGACCGATGGAATGAAGATCAATGTTCAAGCTTTCATAATCATTACTGGACGTGTTCGTGTTTAAATCCAAGAATATTGTAAGAAAGTCCTTCGTTATACGATACTTTGCTCTCATGGTTTCGTCTTTGGAATATTCTTGCGCGACTACTTTTGTTGCGCATTCAGCACCTTCTGGCTTAGTTTTTGAGTCGATAGTATTCATTACACGCTTGTTTACATCGAAGTTATAAATCCTATTGTAAAATGAATGCTTCTAATCAAGCGAAGTTAATATGGTTGTTCATTCTTTTCCATAGGAAACAAAATGAAGAGAAAGAATATACGTCGATCTTGTCTGAGCAATAGAGCACCTTGCCAGTTCGTGGATCGTAATAAAGTAGTTAGTAACATTCAGAATCAGAATCAAAAACTCAGTCGACTGATCTGTATTTCGAAATTTTTAGCTGATTTTCAGTTTGGATGAAAATCTCGATGATTTTTCAATGTGAAAATTCGAAGAAAATTAAAGTACTCGACACAGTGGGCATTTTTTGCTAGAGCAGGCGGACTTTAGCTTTATGAGTGAACTAAAATTTTGCGAACCATTTTTTTATAGGTATTTGATGATCCTCTTTCTAATGGCATGAGAGTTGGGCTTTGAAAAAGTTTTCTAAGCAGTTTTTCAGAGATCCGGTCTCTGGAAAACTCCTTAGAAAACATTCTCAATATAAAACCGATGCCACTGGAAAGAGCATTGTCGAAAACCTATAAGAAACATGTTTCGAGTCGTTCAGGTTACTTTATCCTGAAATTCAAATTTTCAGCACGAAATTGTTTGTGTGAATCACAAAAACTGAGAAATTTCTAGAATTCAGAATCGAGCTACCGAAACTAGATGAGTTATACACCATTCGATACAGTTTTTCACGCTGATTCCGAATATGGTATTATATTTAATGCAAAGTGCGTTTATGACCAAGAAAACTGCGAAATACTTTTGAGTTTTGAAGTATACTCATTTTTATATCTATAGATAGCTGAGGAAGTATTGAATTCGAATATATCCTTTCGAATCGTTTAACACAGCTACGCATATAAAGAACCACGATTTCGTGCATGCGTGTCAGGTTTTTCGATATTCATCATGCAGTTTTTGTACCTTGATTTCTCCTCGAAGGAGTCAATATCAAAATAGACATTTATACACCATTCGATAGAGAATTGAATAGGTGCCCACTGTGCTCGAATAGGATAGGGATACACGTCACTTGAATCATTCTTTCATCCTGATTCCGAATATGATATCTTTATTACATAAAAGTTGAGTTCTGATGCAGAAAAGTGAGAATTACGAATTACATTCAACCCAGCAAAAATAGTTTCGGACTCGAAGTGTTAAAATAATGAGCATATCATACACTTAAAAACTAAATTATTCTGTGTGTAGTATTTTCTTTAATAGCGAGAAAAGTTCGAATATAGAATTTCAATATTCATAGCTAGATGAATACTATTCAATCACTTTTCTCATGAGTTGTTTTTTTTGCTCACTCCCATATGAGACAATAAACTGAGCGTACCCAAAAAAGATAATAAAATGCAGTTTTAAAAGAGATAATAAACTCTGACGTTTAAATTGAGACAACAAATCTTAGTATTCCAAACGAGATAATAAAGTCAAATCTCCCAATTGAGATAATAAAATAAGACGAAATAGCAAATTCAAAAGAGATAATAAAGTTTAATTAGAATAATAGAACAAATAAAACAACATATGGGACTTTTGTACACTGTGTATAATTACGCATCCATTTGGCAAATTGATCCGAAAGTGACATGTCTGAGTCCAACAACAGTATAAAAAAGGAGCTTAAGACTACGTTGAAGCACAACGTTCCAATCCTATCATGTCCATATTATCACAATGACCTCTCCAAAAGTTATCATATTTACAACGCAGCAAGGAAAATTTGTACAGTTTATAACAACTATCCGTTTAGAAAAATACATGTTAATAAAGATTCAAGTATTCTGTTCAAATGTACAACAAATAAATGTTCAGCATCGATTACCGTTGATACAAGTAGTAATATGATTCGAGAAAGTGGTAAATATGATCATGAAGCGAGAATTAAAGAAAAAATTCGAAATGTCATTCGAGGAATGAAACGAAAACTGCAAGAAGATCTATCACGCCCAATCCCGCAAGTATATGAAGAAGAAAGAGCCGAAGAATTTATAGAAATATCGAAAAATAGTCCGAGGTAAAACTTACAATTCATTGTACGAACATGACAAAGCAGCAACAAAAATGGATAAAGAGGATGGTGCCTGAACAATTGTGTGTGTGTGTGTGTGTAGACATGTCGCTTTCGGGTCAATTTGCCAAATGGATGCGTAATTATACAAAGTGTACAAAAGTCACATATGTTGTTTTATTTGTTCTGTTATTCTAATTAAACTTTGTTATCTCTTTTGAATTTGCTATTTCGTCTTATTTTATTATCTCAATTGGGAGATTTGACTTTATTATCTCGTTTGGAATACTAAGATTTGTTGTTTCAATTTAAACGTCAGAGTTTATTATCTCTTTTAAAACTGCATTTTATTATGTCTTTTGGGTACGCTCAGTTTACTGTCTCATAAGCAATTTTTTTTTGTGACTACAGCAATGCTTCTCACCATTCGTCATTGGGAATCTGTATTCTAAGTCTCAATATAAATATCATATCTGTAATGCATAAAAAAATAAGTCATTTCAGAACAATAATATAAAGATAATTTTTACATGAAATTTAAAAATTTCGAAAACCTACAGATGATACTTCCTTTTAACTATAAATGAAGAATTAACGTTGTTTTTTTCAAATCATAAAAGAAAGAAACAAAACTAATACTAACCGTTCATTCGATCAAAACATGTCCCAAATTGAATTTTTGTAACATTTCGAAAAGGAATATCAATCCCTTTATATAGTCTCATTTTGAATAAAATTTCTGATGACATCATAAGATCTGACTTATTAAAACATGCGTAACGTTCTATAAACAAAAGAAATTTTATTTATTTGAGGTATTGTTTTGCTATTTTTTCATTGAATTTAGTTAAGAACAAGAGAGATAAATATTTATAAGAAATCTTTCTTCTCGTATAATTATTTTGAGTCAAAATTTTTCTTTTTTCTCTCTTAAACTTTTTTTTCCGAAACTTGATGCAAAATTATTATTACAAAATTCTGTGAATATATTAAACTTTGTCATCAATCTATTTCTTCAATCTTCAGGAAATTCATTAAAATAGCAAAGCAACTTACCTTTGTATACTTTGATACAAGAAACATTAGGAGATAATTCATTGAATCGTTCGAGAAATAAATAAAGTGATGGATGTGGGTGAGAGAAGACATTGTCAATATATGGCCAATTAAAAATAAATGGATAATTACTAAAAGAAAAACTAGTTGATTTAAGAATCTCTACGAGTTTTAATAAAGACAAATATCATACATTTGATTATTAGAGAATTGAGATGTATTAGTAAAAGAAGAGAAAAGATGTTGACACGACATGATTGAATCAAACAAACATTTTACATTTGTCTATTGATAATTAATAAAAAAGGAATGAGTTTTAAATGAATTTGTTATTTTTTCAATATCGATAAACGATAATTGACATTGTGAACAAATATAAAAATCGAAATATATTAAATTAGGTATCCTATCAGGTAAACAATACTGACGAATGAAATTTGCATCAATAAAAGATTTTCATATATTTTGACATCTTGTTTCGATTAGTGTATTACTTTTGAGATGAAGTTGAAGTTTTTCAACATAATTAAAATGGTTGAGAAGCCATTTCAAATAAACAAATTCCATATCTTCAAAAATGAAAGTTTTTAAACTAAAATATTGTAACTTTGGTATCTGAAAGGATATGATTATTTTTTATTAATCAAAACAAAGAATTATTCTGAGAAGTTCAGAAAATGAGCAAAAATCATTTTTGCTTTTCTTTTTTTCTTACTTTCTTAAACCAATTTTCATTTGATTTCTTCAATGTTTCAACATTCGATTTCCATAAAGAATTGAATTGTAATGAACAATAAACCTCAACTGACATTTGTTCAAGATTGGGTACATATTCAACAAGATTTTCAAGGAAACATGTTTGATTAAGTCGAATATGTAAACGACGAAGAGTTATATTACACGATTGACGTTGATATTGAATTAAATTTGAAGACAGATCAGAGTTTGATGCTAAACTATAACGAAGATGACCGTTCCTAAATTCGTTGCTAATATCAATTCGAAGAGATTTTAATTGACATTGACCAGAGAATTATTGACAAAGAAGTTGTTTGATCATGGTGTATTGTTTTTCTAGTGTTTATCAAAGAAAAAT